GATATATTTTACTTTAAACATGATAAGGATTTACTTAAACTGTTGAAAAAGTGTACTACAACATCAAGAGAGGTTAAAAGGTCATTCCCTTTTGAGTGCTACAGAAGGGCTTTGGGAAACTTTGGACTAATCACTTTTTCAGCCCAATCTGGCTTATAGAAATGCTGTTGAGAGAAAAAGAACAGGACGATATATCACCTTAATTTTCTGAAGGAAAGCCAGGAGAAAAATTTAATGAATTAATTAATAGATTGTTTTGTATATTAGGAATTTGCAAAAATCAAGTTCCCGAAAGGTCATTTAACTTTTGGTGGTTTTACTTCTTCCCTTTATTTTATGAACTTTCATGCCAAGAGCAATATTTCTCTGTGTATATAGGGAAATAATCTCTTCATGAACAAAACCAGCAAGCAATATAGATTCCCTGAAACAGTGGATGCCATAGTAACATTCATATTGCAATACAACGTCCACCTGCCAACCAGCCTCCCTTCTTGTCAAAGAGCAGACAAGCTTTGATCAATTATTTTGTGGAAGGATTGTCTCTGACAGCCTGCACAGAAATCTAAAGCTTTACATTCTCAAGGCTGTATTTGGAAGCAGTGACTTTTTTTCACAGTCATGCTGTCTAACCTCCAATTCCCTCTGCAGTCAATTTAGTCTTTGGCAAAAAGTGATCAAATGGGGATCCCATTGTCTAGGGTTGCCAAATGCATGCAAACAGGTATAATACTGTAAAAGATTGAACGGTATGAGATTATTATTAGATCTTTACATCAGATTAATACCCGTGTTTCCCCAAAAATAAAATCCCGTCAATATATATATATATATATTGCCACCACAAAAGGCACCAAGTCTTATTTTCAGAGGGGTGTGTGTGTGTGTCTTCCATTGACTCACCTCACTTGTGCACATCGCCCCCAGCCTCCCTTTTGCTGTCAGAGGCCTTCAGGAACTTCTTCTGCAGCCAGCAAAGTCGGCAAGGCTTTCCTGAAGCCTCTGCAGCCAATAACAGAGCTCCGGATCAATCCGGAGCTCTGTAATCGGATGCAGAGGCCTTTAGGAAAGCCTTGCCGGCTGCAGAAGAAATGGGCCGGCAAGGCAGGTGTCGGGGTGTGCAAGGCCTGGCTGCAACTGTTTGAAGGTAAGTCGTAGGGCAGCTCCACATCCCCCATCCCCACCTTAGCATAATTTTTACCCATGCGCCCTGGAGTGGGCAGGGTCTTAATTAGGGCTTATTTTGGGGGGGGGTAGGGCTTATATTGGGCACATGTGTAAAAATCAAGTTAGGACTTACTTTCAGGATAGGTCATATTTCCAGGGAAACAGTATCATAGGAGGTTTGAGATAAAACGCAGAAAAGGTATGGGGGAATAATTTAGTTAAATTGTCTATGAAAACCACATGCAGTTATGGACAATGAGGTGAGACTCACATCTTAAAACTGCAGTGTTATACTAACAGTATATAGGTTCATGAGTCTGCCAAGAATTAATTCCACTTTGTTGGCTATCAGCCCAGCAATGTATGACCACTTAGAAGATCTGAACTGGCATCTCCTGGCTCAAATGTTTCCAAGGCAGAATTATAGAAATCAGTTGAATTTGGCCAGGATTCAGTTTTTACCAAATGGGGTAGTTAAGAAATCAACAGACAGAAAAGAAATGCATTTGGGACAATAGAGAGCTGCCTCATAAGATCAGAAAAATCTGAGTAGCTGTTGGCCCATAGCATGAGATCATAGACACTGGCAATAGGGAAGACAGGAAAGCAAATGATCAAACATGTTTGACATATGTATTTGTTTTATACATCAGGACAATAATCGTGATATTTGTATGATGATGTTGCCTTCTGCATAGTCATTTTGGTATCATCAGATCTCTTAAAAAAATAGAAACAAGAAGACAGCAACTACTGTTGTGTTCCTTATGGCTAAACTTTCAAAAGAACTGGGTTGCACAATCTTATAACATATCTTCCAAGTATGTTATATAAGAGTTTTTAAAATGTATTAAGATTTTTATTCTTCATTCTTCAAAATGGTTTATTAAATAATTGTGTCAGAGGTAGGTACAGAACTCTGATGAAGAACAGAGATGAATTTTAAATTGCTTTGTTATATAATATATTCAGGCATTATTTCATCAGTTTGTTAAATGAGTTCATACTGTGGGTAACTGACTTCCTGGATTTCTGGATTTTTGCAATCTTCTAATTCCCCAGCATGTTCATCCAAGTCTTATTGAGGTGATATTTTTGCATGGTGAATTCTGGAGAGTTGATTATAACCCACAACTAGTGGGATGATTAATTTTAAGAAAAGCTCTCAGTTTTGGAATATGCTTTGGTTTAGTAAGGCTAAATATTCCAGTACTATTTTAGTCATGAACTTCCTTGATCAAATATCTCCCATAGGAACTTACCAAGTTGTGGCTTCTCCCACAGCTACATTGAACCCAGCAGTTTCCTTCTGGGTGCCAGTGGAGAAACCAGTGAGGCCTGGATTAAATTTCTTCAAAATGTCTGACAGAGAAGAGAAATTCAACATCAGTGTTTCTGCAGTAAATAAGAATCAGCATCTCATTCCCGGTATTGGTTTTTAAGGCTTTTAAGGGTTCTGAATCCTTACAAATCATTGAAAGTTAGTTCATATTTGGCAAAAGTTTTCCTAATTATTCTGGACAATTATTAGAAAAAAATATAGCTATGGGGTTCTTAGTGCTTTCTGAGCTTGGTTGTTTTCTTTCAGGTTTTTCATTACTGAATTAGGTATCATTATCAATGCTGGAATGGAGTGGGCTTTGGTATCTATTTATATACTAGTGGATTGCCTGTCAATGTCAGTGGTACTGTTCTTGGTAGTTCCTTGTCAGGTTATTGTTTACTGTTTGTCTGAGTTGGTGGTTTCTTGATCGGGGTATTATTTGCTTCTTGATTGTTGCTCTAATGTTAATCTTGGTGTTAATCTCTGTTTAGTTGGCTATTGATTACTAGTAAGGTGGTGTTTTGATCTTTTAGTTTTCTTTTTTGCTTTTTGATTGTCTCTTTAGAATGGTGTGTAGAACTTGTTCATCTCTATGTGCCTGTTGATGGACTGATTTGTCCAAAGGCCAGTCTTCTAGAATTTGCTAGCGTTTTTGGACTTGGCTTGGTCTAGGAGGTTCAGTTTCCCACATGAAACTATGCTGAAATTTGCCCATGTATTGTGAAATTAAGGACTTTCATCATGTTTTCTGACTGCTAGTTGATATTAGTTAGCTATGAGTACTTAGTTTGTAAAATTCTATTTTTGAATCTCTATGTCTTTATCCATCACTACACTACTAAATGAGAAAGGTCACCCCTGTTTCAGATGGGCAATTCATTTGAATGGCTATATGGTAACCAAATAGAACATGGTCTCTTCATGTTACAAATAATGGTGTCTATTAAATTTGACTGGTAGAAATGGGTGAGAATTCATAAACATCCTCACAGATAGGGAAAATAGGATTGGAATTATTAGAATGTGGGAAATAGCCATGTATCTCCACCAAATTCCCTAGAATAATAAGGCTGAAAGAGGTCTCCTATTCTAGTCCCTTGCCCAAGGCAGGAGATCTTATTCCATCCTGAACAAATAGATGTCCAATCTTTTATTGAAGACCTCTTTGAGTCTATTGGTTTGGAAAGTCCAAAAAAATAAAATGCTAAGGGATGCTTGTGAGATAGTTTCTTCACAATTTTACTGGATGGTATCAAATCCTCCATCTTTGCCCTGAAATTTACAGTTCTCAGAATTCCTACAGAGTGTAATTATATGGAAGGGAGAACAAGGGAAGTGGGCAGCAACAATTCACACAAATGCAATGCAACCACAGGGGGAAATAGATAGCCTACCATAAGAACAGAACAAGTTACACAGGTCCTGACAATCTTTCCCTCCCAAATTACCCATGAAGACAAAAACATACTTATACTCTGCATGGAAAATAAAGCTTTCTTTTATTGAACTCAGAGGAAGAAAAATGACATCAAAGGACAGAGCCTTACAGGGCCTGTGCCAACCTAGGTGAGGGAGGGGGAAAGACAAATACTAGTAAAAAGCCCATGAGATGGCATAAGACAACTTGGCAGGTGGAGAATGAGGAGTAACATTAGGAAGTAACTCAGAGCATATCCTGGAAATCAGGACACAACCAGGAAGCCTTTAGAAACAGGGCAGCAAACATCAAACCCCATCATACATATCTGCTATATAAACTGGCTACCAAATAGCATTGCATGGAGCTTATTTACATTTGGAAGTGTAGGAAAGTATGTTAATGTTTTGGCACAAACTGGGTTTCCCCCCTTCCTCATTTGGGCTCACTGCTGGGTGTACATGTTTGCAAAAAGAACCTTTCTGACAACACTAACCTAATTTGTATATGGGGATTAGTTCCCTTTGTAACCAAGGGAGCAAATGACTGCAATACTTTCTACCAAGCAGAGACCTGATCTGTTCTATCCACACAATAGATCCAGATTTATATTTTGGAAGACTGAGTAGGCAAGGCAGGGCAGCTGTTCTACTGATTGGAATTTGTTCTTCCCCTGATGGCTGACCAGAGAAGGCATTTTATTTCCAAACAGTCACTAGTCTGTTTTAGGTTAAACCTATTCTTCCCTAACTTCCCTAACTTTAATTCCACTCACTATCCAGTTCAGTGTGCAATGGGAATACAACTGACATACCTCTTCATATGATGAAATTAAGTCTTCTTTATTTTTGGAGCTAAATCACAACTGTTGGCCAACTATATTATAAATCTTGCTTTTCAAACCATTGTCAAATCATACAAAGAGAGATCAGTCTAATAATAATGTCTTTGAATGGCATGTTGAACAGTGGTTTGACTAAAGGAGAGGAGGATGACTGACTAAAAAAGGAAAGAAAATGTGGAAAGTAATAATTCAAATGCATTTCAGATTTAATTATGTCTGTTGCTATTTTGTATTTTGATGTATTTCAGGCTACTCACTAGGTAATGTTGTGTGAGTCTCCAAGCTTCCATCACTTCCAATGCTTGAAAAAGAATAATAAAAATTGGTTAGTTAATACCACCTCCAGCACATACCATGTGTCAGAGAGAATAACTGTGGAAAGGAGAGGATAGATTTTGAAAAAACAAATCTCTTCCAAAATGAACTATTAGGCATGTATGAATTCTGTTTTTAAAATTTTCAGATTATTTTAAATAAAAATATTTGCCATAATTTCTGAAAAAACAATTTGAAAACATATATAGCTAACCTAAACAGCAAAATATAGCCCTGTTTATTTTTGTGCATTTGGTGTACCAAGACATATCATGGTACCTATTTAACAACAGGCATTATTTCATTGTATTTTTATTCCAAATGCCAGCATAATAACAATTGTTCTCTTAAGAATTGAGTTTGTTTGACAAAATGATCAGCATTCCACAAAGATGTGCAAGAAAGAAAATCTGTAGAGGAGAATTGGTAATAATATTCATAATGTAAGCATTGTTATACACATAAGCATTAGGCAAGCTTCCTATCATTGCTTTGTGCCACTCCTAGTAGAGGCTTAATGACTTAGGAATTATCTCAAATCTTGATCAGAAGCTATTTATTCAGTTTGTGATAGAAATGTAAGCCACACTAAAGATTGCCAGATGGCAGCACATTGTTAAAAGATCCTTTAATAAGTGGTTGAGAAAGATCAAACTGCATGTTTGGGCATGGAAATATGATGTAGGGTGAACTTTCCCATAATGCAGCCTGTTTTCATTTCTTCTGTATCTATAATTACCTGAACTTTTCAAACATGAACCTTTAGTTCTATATTCTACTACTGTTTTATCTAACTTGATACCCTCCAGATTTTAGGCCTTGATGTCCTAACACACCTAAGGGGTGCAATGTTGGAGAAGACTTTTAGTAGAATGTGAATGAAATTTTGGGGAAAAAACAATTACCTCCAGGAAAGTCCTCTCCAAGCTGTTTTGATATCATTCAAACCAATTGCTTTAGCGCCTTCAGCAATCTATTAAAAATAGAAAAAAATAAAATGCAATCAACAAGAATTTATTATTTCTTACAGAATCAAATAGTTAAAATCTGGGTAATGGTTTCTGATGAGGTCATACTTTCAATCTACCAAAAGCAACATGGAGGAATATTCTAAAAAACCTCCATTTACTAAAGAAAGCAGGAAGATATTCACCATTTGACCTGGATACAGAAAGAATCTGATTTCTGAACTTGACACCACATATCGTAGCTCCAACTATAATGGCCAATTATAAAATTTCATTTAATAAACATTCAGGATTAATATTCTGCTTTATGTCATTTTATTAAGCTAACATTCTCAGATTCTTAGGAATAACTGCATTACTGAAAATGTGGATATACCATATTTTTGGGTGTGTTAGACATACTTCCCTCACCCAAAAAAGTGGGTGGAAATGTCTGCGCGTCTTATACAGTGAATGAGGCTGAAAATGGGGTGCGTGGAGGTGACAATACGCGATGGCGATCCCTGCAGCCGGAAACAGCTGATTGTTGGGAGGCCGATCAAACCAACAATCAGCTGCTTGTGTTAAATCAGGCTGTGATGAAGTTGACCAGGCTGTTTGCTGTTTGCTGCAAGGAGGCAAATTGCTGGGGGGCAGAGGCAGATTTTTTTTCTTGTTTTCCTCCCCAAAAGCTAGGTGTGTCTTATACGTTGGAGCATCTCAAAGTCTGAAAAATATGGTACTTACCATCATTGAATCACCAAGTGCTGCTATCACTTGAATGTCAGCTGGCTGCAGCCTGTGCACTAAAAAAAAATAAAAATAAAATTGAGGGAGAATATCATATACAGAATGCAAAATAACAGAGTTGGAAGCAACTGAAAATCTTTTAGTCCAACCCCCTGCTCAAGCAGGAGACCCTATACTTGTCGAGCCTCAACCCGCTTGCCACAAACTGCAGTAACCATCCACTTCGCTGAGAGCTTGATCTCCGCTGCAATTTCCCGATGTCTCCGCTGTCTCTGTCGCTGTGGGATGACATCTACTCAAAGTGACCAAGGAGTGATGAAGTCACCAGGAGACACCACAGAACTGAAGGGAAGGGGAAACCGGTGACCAGCAATTGTTTTGTTAATGGACATTACTGTAATTAAGGGTTGTAACTGATGTAGGCGAGTCGGGGTTTGTGTGGGTGGAAGGTGGTTGGACTGAGGGTATTTAGGTAGTGCTGAGAAGCGGATGTTTTCAGCGCTACCTTCACGAGGGCTTACTCGGCATTTTAAGAGTTGCCCTGTTCTTAATTGTGGATTCTTGCTGGAGATTGTTTCTATGAATACATAAACTGAGTTTGATTGACTGCGTTTTTTCATCTACATAACTACCAAACTTGGCCAGGACTTTGAAAATACTATTTCAAACAAATGACTTTCCAATCTCTTCTTAAAAATCTCCAGTGATGGAGCACCCACAACTTCCAGAGGCAAACCATTTGACCAGTGGTAGGATTCAATTTTTTTTTACCACCGTTTCTGTGGGCGTGGCTTGGTGAGCATGACAGGGGAAGCATACTGTAAAATCTCCAGTCAGAGGTGGGATTTGCCGGTTCTCCGAACTACTCAAAATTTCCACTACTGGTTCTCCAGAACTGGTCAGAACCTACTGGATACTATCTCTGCATTTGACTGATTAATTGTTCTCATTGTCAGGAAATTTTGATTAGATTGGATCTCTTTTTTTTGAGTTTCCAACCATTACTTCTTGTTCTGCCTTCAGGTGCTTTGGAGAATAGGTTGATCCCTTCTTCTTTGTGACAGTCTCTCAAATATTAGAAGACTGGATTCTGTCACCCTTAGTTCTTCTCTTCATTAGACTAGACATACCCAGTTCGATATCCTGATTCAGAGGTGGTATTCAGCAGGTTCTGACCAGTTCTGGAGAACTGGTAGCGGAAATTTTGAGTAGTTCAGAGAACTGGCAAATACCACCTGTGACTGGAGGTTTTACAGTATCCTTCCCCTGCCACGCCCACCAAGTCACGCCCACAGAACCGGTAGTAAAAAATTTTGAATCCCATCACTGTCCTGATAGGTATTCTGATAGATAAACATGTTGTAGTGATAGGTATAACTTAAAAGGTAAATTAAGCATTTCTAAAGCTTATGAGCTCCATATCCTTACTGGGGCATAAGTCTTACTAGACAGAATTTGGGCCCATCTCCATTTAATCTTGCATAGGACTGAGTTGTAAAAAAAGAGAAGAATATAACAGGCAGTTCAACAATATTAAGCACTGGCCTAGTTTGCTAAAGTACAACCTAAATATGCCTTATGTTCTCCAGATTCTTCATTATCTTTGTTGTCCATCTTGGCAATTAATTTTGTCTTTGAGGACCATCCTGCATATTATTAGGCAGCTGAAATTCCACTAAGTCAATAGGATTTAAGGAATCTCATTGTATGTTCTACTTTCATCTGTACCAACCGTAAACATACAGTATTACTGTATAGCTAAGATAAAATAAGTTTTAAACATTCATTGATAGCAAAATATGAGCTGAAAAATACAGTCGCTAGATTGCTTAAGATTATAAAAATAGAAAAGAAAAATAGAAAACTAATGTTTTCTATTATTTGTTGTCACTTTCTCTCCAAGCTCCAGCATTTTACATAAATCTGCACTGAGAAAGGGGGAAAATACATATTATTGTTGTTGTTGTTGTTGTTGTTGTTGTACACAAAAATGACAGTATACACACCAGATGAGATAACCATGCTGGGTTTCGTATCACAAATCACTAGTCGAACACTTCCCAAGTGTTTAGGACTGCATGATGTATTGGCAGATATTATTATTATTATTATTATTATTATTATTATTATTATTATTATTACACGAGCAGTTATTTCTCACCTGATGTGGGGACTTCTCTGGATTCAGTCTGTACAGAACATGGCAGATTAATACCCCAGTTCTTAAAAACAAAATGCAGTCAACATATCACTGGAAATTGTTCCTATATGTTGTAACAAGAAACTACAACTACAAGAAATCTAGAAGCAACTTGTGTTTCAAAGGGACCTCTACATCCTATTTCTATGCTTCAAGAAAGCAACCTGAAATTACTAATTCATCCTTGGGGTATCAGGAACAGAATTATATCCAGCATTGTTCATTACTATTGCCAACAATTGAAAAACAGTTTGGTGCATTGGTTAAAGATGCTGAAATAAGAACTTGGCAACCTGAACTCTAGGTCTCTGTTAGGCATGAAGCCAGCTGAATTACTTTGAGATACTGGACTACCACTTCCAAAAAATCACCCCAAAAGAAGCTTCTTGGATGAGAAGCAAAACATTTTCAGAAATTTCCAGAAAGTCCAGTTGCCTCTTGAAAAAAAATACCTTTGGGACAGCCATGACCTGGATGACTGAGAATCTCCATAGACACTTCCAAAAATGTTGTTACAAAACTGTATGGATGTGAAAGCATCCTGTGGATACCAGAAAACTGTGGATATTCTAACTAAGAGAAATAATACACAGTAAATAATAAAGGCATTACCTGGTCTGGCAACTTAGTAGGGTTTTCTGGTGGATTTATGGCATTGCTGTTGTTGAAGGTACGCAGGAAAGGTTGGAGCTAATAGAGAAAGAACATGAATGCCAAGCTTCAAAATTTCAATAGAGAAAAACAGAAGCATAGATTCAAGCCACTAGATCAGCCACTTGACTGCAGCTAAGCCTACAAGTCTAGTAATAGAAATGCTGCAAATAATGGTTGTCTCACAAAAAAGGGGATTATTTTGATACCAGTCTATTTGAATAATGGAGGCAAAATTGGAGAATTTGAACTGAGATAAGCTTCTATAATGGGACTATTTCAAATAAGTATTAAGATACAAAGTGCAATTGTCTGGAATCTTTTGTATGGAAAAAAAGTGTGTATCTTTTCATCATATCGCTTGTCAGCCAATCCAACAATTACATAATGCTGCAAGTTGGTTGTAAGGTGACAGAAAGAGCTACCACCTCATGAGATAATGCACAAATAATGCAAAAGAGTTATTTGATAGAGAATAGGGCAAAGAATAGGAAAATTAGAATTACAGGCAGTTTAATAATCTAAATTCTAATAATATTTTGCAGTCTATGTTAGAACTTCTTACATGGCTATAGCAGGCTTTAAATTTCCCATTAATTTCCAAACAGAAAAATCTGTGTCCCAAGCTATGCTCACTTTCTGCTGCTACCAGTATGGAGAATCCCATTTCCCTAAACATTTATCAAAGGTCAGATATGAGCATTTGCTCAGAATGTTTTGCTGCTTTGTGCATGAAGTGCTTTAAAAGATGCCTTCCAGGGCTCCTTTCAATGTTCAAATGTAGACACTGCACAGATGCAAATAAATCTGTAAATCTCACTCAAATACTCTTGCCTTGTAAAGACTACAGAGACACTTTTCAGATTATCGTAGTCCACCAAATGTTGTAACCCAAAAAGAGTGCTTTCTTAAAAAAGAAAAAGAAAAGAAATACAGTACAAACCAGTTTATCTTCATGATTTTACTGTGTTGTGTTTTAAATTGTACAGTATGTCTCACAGGAAAAAAAAACCACATCACAAATTTGAACAGATATAGAACTAATTGCATTTGCTCCTAACATGCAGACAGAGAGAAAAAATATTGCTTGGGCCATTTGCCTCATGTTGTGTAGGAGGCTATTTATTATTTCTTGGCTTTGTTATATCTCCAAGGGCACAACACATCATGAATAGTACTTTGCCCTCTATTTTTATTTCCTGACAGCAACACCTTGAAAGGTAATGTGGGCTGAGAGGTAGTGTGAGGCTCAAAGGCATCCAGTCATCTTTCATGACTCAGAATGAAGCTAATTCTCTATAGTTCTAGTCCAATGTTTCTCAATCTTGGTAACTTTAAGATAAATTTCTTCATCTGTTTTGGAAATTTTGGGAGTATAAGTCCATGTATCTTAAAATTGCCAATGTTCAGGGACACTGTGATATTTAACTTTTACATTGCTCAGCCATAATGTGTTTGACCATCTTGCATATAGTTTGAGCTAGAAAATCCAAGGATATTTCTCCATGACATTAAGCAGTGCTGCCTTATCCTACAAAGGCCCTCAGCAAATCTTCATAATTTTACATGTAAAATTTCAGTTCTGATCATGAAAGAAGATGGGCACTTTTCATGAATTATCTGGTAAGATCAAATAAAATAAAAACTCTAATTTTAAATGTAAGTATCTGTATTATGCTGCAGTTATGCCTTTTTACTATGAATAAGTTACGGTGGATCTTTAAAAAAAAAAACTTGCACAGCATTGTGATGTTAATCTGTATGATTATTTCACTAAAGTATGTGAATGAGGTAAGAATTTTCCCGAGCTAAAACCACTAATT